CTCTTTCTTTCCTTTACTTCCACACAAATGCACATAAACAGCCATAGGTCCCATCAGTATGTGAATTTGATCCTAAAGTCCTCAGCCTTGTAATTTATATCCACCTCTATATGGGTCATCGCTGTGTTGTTTGTCGTGTTTGTGGTGTGTTTACGTGCCTCGCTGGTGTGTGACACCAAATCTCTTGTCAAGATTCAGCCTGATCGGATAGTGTCGGGGACTCCAGAGAAACAGTAGCACAGAGAAAAAGGGTTGGAAAGGTTCCAGCAGTGGTAACGTCATGAGCAATCATGAATATATTGCAGTGTAAGTTCATATACACTCACAGATGTGTGTACACCCTACACACAGTATCAGTTGTTGATAATGATGTAGACTCTTCTTCTTGTTACACCAGTAGCAGATTGAACTGAATTGAACTGGCCTTGATGGTTATTAAAGGGTTTTACAGAGTGGAGATCATTGCTTCCAGCAGCAGCTCATAAAATCAGATTCATTTACTCTGCCCCTTGTTTCTGCTTCTGGGGTGAAAATATCTGCTCTATCTTTATGGTTAATTTGAGGTTTATATTTTGAAGTGTTTCCTGGCTGCAACGCTTGTAAGTGCCACAAACTCGTCAATCCGCTGCTCCATGCCATTGGACAAATCCAGATTTCTTTGCTTTAAAAAAGACATGTGCAACTTTTTAGTTTTTCTTTCTTCTAGTGTGTTTATGAAAGTGGAGGCCAACATGTCTGAAAAGTACAACAGGGCAACAGGTACAGCTGACCAATCAGAGCAGACGGGTCTTTATCGGGATGGAGGTCTTTAAAGAGACTAGTGTCTCAGATGTAAGCTAACAAGAGAAGCTACAGCAATGAACAGCATGAAGAAAGTTTTCTGAACATAAGTGCATGAACCCTTTTCAATTAATAACCCACTGAACCTGAATATGATCATAATCTTTAAATAGCTGTTAAGATGAGGTGAGACAAAACTCTTTAATTAGCCCATGTTTTTCTACGATCAGTAGTCTCTGCAGAAATGGCTAAAGTCAATAGGGTGGTCACGAGAGCATCCAGAGAAAGTCAAGCATTTTTCACTGCTCATTGATGGTACGTTTCACACATGAGACCCGCAGCAGAAACAAGGCTGTCTGTTCTCTGACCTGCATGGACACACTGAAGAAAAAGAAGCAGAAATGGATGAAATGAGAGAGACTGAGCTTGGCCTGATTTCATGCCTGTGTCACAGGTAATCTGGTCTGTGGCACAAGAATAAACGCTCACTTAAATAGATCAGGGTGACGTGTTTTTAGTCTGTGTGTTGTTCTGCGAGTCACAGGAGACGAGCAACTCTTAATTCGTATCTGACCTTGAACTTTACAGGCATTTCCTTTGCCTTGCTCCCGTTCTAGTTTTCCTCTCTTAAAATCACTCAAATGTTCATTATTTGCATCCATTTAGATCAGAATGCAAGCACTCAAAGCTGGTGGGTTATCTTTTAGCTCTTCTAACGTTTAAACAGACTCAAACTAATTTCACTGTCTGGATAGTTTTAACATTTTTTTACAGAAGGTTAAAAATGAATTTGTGAATGAAACTCCTTTGTCATGTCAGTCTGAACCTTCTGTTGTTTTCCATTTCTGGTTTGACGACTCTTCTGGCTCATTAGTCTCTCATGGTTTTTCCACTTTGACAAATATGAGCCTCGTTCAAAGCACAACATGTTTGAACTATGGTGCTAATAATTCTTTGTTATGTTGTTTAACACTCAAAGACTACAACAATGGCTTTAAGTTATACTTAGGCTATTACCATCATTAGGAAGTGTAAAAATAAAGCTGCATGGTCCATTTTATTCAGTAAATGTGTGGTAATGCCAGAACAGATTTTATCACAACACCAGTGGTGCCACCAAAAGGTTTCCTGGCAAAATCTTGGCGGTTACAGACACCAGAAAATCAAATTGGGTCAAAGAGGAAACAGGGTAGAAGATGCTGAAGTTGTTTGAGTAAGGTGCGGCCAACAGATGGGTGTATGTTTAGCTGTCAAACTCAAACAAACATGCCCCTGGCTTTTCTTTTTAAACATGTTTGTTTGCTGGATTAAATTAAAGTCAGAAGAAAACACATTAGATGTTTACACAACTTCTACTTTTGTTTACGAATTGTCTGTGAAGTTACCGGCAGTATTTTATGGATGGAACCCCTCTGGCTCACTTACAATAGGATATTTATGACCTCCGCAAAAGAAGTTATGTTTTCACCTCTCTTTTCTGTTTGTCAGCATTGTGACGCAAAAACTCCTGAGCTGATTTTTTTGAAACTTGGTGGATCCACAAATCTTAAAATTTTTCACCATTTTCTAATAACATTAATGTTATTATTTTTTAGTTATTAACTTTTTTACTAAATTACTTCAGATGTCACATATTTAATGAGACTGACTTGAGGTGCATCAAAATTCAGCTCAGTGAAGGATCCGTTTATTGATTGTGCTAAGTCACAATTTCAGGAAAAACTGAACTTCTATGAGTTTTAACAAACTGTGTGTGAGAAAAAAGTTTCCCACCAGCTGGTCAAATGTTCTCGGCACTGGAGTCTGCAGTGAGTTCAAGTGAGATTAAAATTTGTATTGAGCAGCTGGATTCACATCGATTCACAATAATGGTACCAGCTCCACGAGCAGGTTTTCCTGATGGAAACTAAGTTCTGAGTTTGATCATAATATATAAATGCCTCAGTCCAAAAAAAGCTCCAACTTGCAGCATGTGCCATGCAGAATTAATGTGACTCGGACAAAGTGCATTGAACCCTATAGAGACTATATAAGGTTATATGCTTAAAGATTCATTATTTTTTGATGATATTAGATTTAGACCCATCAGCTGTCCCATTTGTACTAGCCGATGATCATTGTACATATTGTGTTTTCCTTCTGCAAAAGGCCATGACTTCAGCATCTCCGCCCTGCTTTGGCATTCCCAGATCCAAAAATGTAGTATTACTACTTTTAATTACTATTATTATGTAGTGTAAATGTTGCATTTTGTTACATGCCTTTGTATAGTTGTGGTCTCTAATTTGAACAGAAATTAGAGGAATATTCCTTTGTATTTGTGATGAACTGTGGGTCCCTGTAAAGCAGAGGGGCTGTTATGTAATCTGCTGCTGCTTTGAGGTCAGGTGAGGAGGGGGTTGTGTACGAGCGTGTGTTTGTGTGTGTGTGAATATCATGAGTGTATCCTGAATGTTAATGGAGACTTGTGAGAGCATTGAAAATGGAGAGGAGTGATAAAGAGAGGAGTAAGAGAGAACAAGAACTAGGAAAAGAAATAAATATGTTTGACCTTTGTACTTATTCGTCTGTCCATCTGTCATTTGTTGTCTTCCTTCTCTTCCTCTTCAAACCCTCCCCTCTGTCCATGTTTACTTCCTCACACTCTCCACCTGTTCACCCATCCTTCCTTACCTCCCTCCTTTCCCAACTTCTCTCCTTCCTCCCTTTTCTCTCTTTTTGTTTTCTTCCCTTCGCCTCTCCCTAAGAGGCTTGATGAGGGTCTTAGCGCTGTTTTAGTGTGCGTGTGTGTTTGTGTGTCGTTCACGTGGCAAGCATTAGTGCACGCTGGGTGTGACGAAATGTGGCGTCTCCATGGGTTATAATCCAGCGGCCCGCTGCACGCAAAAACACACACTTTGGAATTCAACTCGGTGGGAAATCGTATCGAACATCCGTGCAGTGTGTTTTACTCTCTCTCTCTGAGAGGCGTGTTAGTTGCCAAAGGGCTTCACTACTTGTACTCCTCTGTCTCTTTCTCTCTTTTTTTCAGTCTACATTTCTCTCATTTCTTCCCACCACACACAAGCCCTCTGTTTGAAACAGAAGCTCAGTTTGAAAACGTTTCAGCTCATAAAACACAATTGCGTTCTTTCATCCTTCACATTTTCAATTCACATTTTCTCTTTTATTCTTATGGTGTCAGGCCCTGGGTTTGGTTATATGTCGTTTTCCCTGTCAGTTACTAAGCTCAGGAGGTTTTTGCCTTTGCACTAAAAGTGACTGGTATTTAATTAATGGCACATACATCCTTGAGTTTCTAGAAAGAGGAGCTGTTTCGAGAAATTAATAACCCCATAATAATATTAACATTTACAAGATTATATATGTACATAATGGTCAGAGACATTTTTCAATACATTTAATGTCATGAAAAACAGAGAAAAGTCCTGGACTGGCAACTGAGACAGTGTGACAGAGCAATTAGGGGGAGGACACTGACCCTACCGTCCGACTCCCAGTTGTCCATTCCAATTTTTCCAGCATTAATGTGCATCATCTACCAAGGATCAGCATATCTTTCACCATAACTACTTTTTTCTGCCTCATCTTGTGCCAACTGATTTACACTCAAGCCGTTTTCAGGCATGAATCCAGGAAAGTGCCCTGAAACTTTAGGTTTGGACATTTGGACAAACTTTGCCTTCCAAGTATGAAGAGTACAGCAGAAGTTTGTCCTGGTCAGACTTGTTCACGACATTAGGAAGTGGAACTTTCAGTCGAGCGCTTCGCCTCTGCACCATATGAGAAACGACATTGACATGCCCACTTCTTTTGCTGGGAATTTTCCAGCCTCTTTTCTCACATGAGCTCAATCTGGCATTTTGCAGACATTTTGCTGACAGGAAACGTTCCTTGGGCAACTGACTCTAACATTTGAGTTCTCACATAAATCCCCTTTTGGAAAAGTCCAGAGTTCAGTGCATGTCTGAAAGCAGCTTAAATGACTCGGCATATACAGCAGTATGTTCATGTCAACAGATACTTGCATTGCAGGAAAATTGCAGCATTGCTTTGTTTATATGTAACAACACATGTTTTGAAGTGAATTGCTGTGACTCATTTATGTTTTTGTTTCTCTTTTTTTCCTCCTCCTCTTCTCAACCAACTCATCTCTCCTCCTGACCAATGGGACGCTCCTCACCTCCTGGTTGCCTTCTGTTGCCGCTGTCTTCCCTCAGATTGATCAGCCAATCGATGGGGATTTTCAGAGGAGCTCCGCCCACCATCGCCGCCTGCCCTCCTCCTTCCCCCTCCCCCCACGCCCCCACCCACTCCGTCATCAAGCCCTCCATACACAAAATGACTCTGGAACTCACTGAATGGTCTTCTATATGGATTTTTACTACTTGTAATAGACAGTAAGAAAGAGAGGGAGACAACCTCAATGACAAAAAAGCCATAAACACACACTACACTACACTACACACACACACACACACACACACACACACACACACAAAAATGCTCCACTCACAAACACAAACATGCATGAAAGCACTGACATACCAACATACTAATTGAAGCTTACAGAGTTTGCAAGGCGTGCTCTCACAAACCTGACAACACTCGCACAAACGCACAAAGTCCCGCTTGGAATGTACCGCAAACTCTACCTGTGAAAATTCAGCTGCTTCCTTTATTTTTGGGGGGATTTTGCTACCGAGAGCATTTGGAAAGCTGATTTTTGTGATTTTTCTTTTCCCCCACTCAGTGGAGAAAACAAGGCAGCAAGAGGAGGATAAAAAAAAACGCCTTGAATTTGAAGTGTTTTTGGACAACTTAGGACAAATGATTGCTGATTGACTATTTTGTTTTCTTTATTTTAGCAGATAAGGAAATTGAGATTTGTTTTAGGTGTATTGATAATAGTTTATTTTTTCATTTTAGATAGATTTTATGACCTAGCGTGCTGGGACATGATCTGTTTGGGTCTTGTGGTATTAGCACTCCATCACTTCTCGAACACCTTTAATAGGATATAACTATCAAGTTACAACCACAGTCACGTTGTAGCATGTAAAGATTGTAATTAAAATACTTCCAGGACGTCATTACTAGTTTTTAGAGTAACTTCAACCTTGAAACAATTAGTTTGTGGAAAGAGATAAGTAGTTTTGTTTTTTCTTTGGTGGCAGATTTTTCAAGGGGTGCGCTTGTTTTCTTGTTGCGTGCATGCTTACCGCCATGCCTCCTCAGAACACAGAGGCTGACGCTATGCAGGTCGGATCTCTGGTAGGCGGTGTCAACGACAAAAACTCCTCTGCATCAGGATTGGACAAGGAGAAAGGAGGAGCAGGAGGCGAGGCGGATGGATCGGGAGAAGGCAGGGGAGGAACCCGTGGTGGGGAGGAGTCGGCGAGCGAAGAATCGATAGAAGGCATCCCCATGAAGAGATGGTTGATGCACGGTGCTGTGATGTTCGGCCGGGAATTCTGCTACGCCATGGAGACGGCGCTGGTGACGCCCGTGCTGCTGCAGATTGGTGAGTAAAGAGTCCACAAACACAAACCTTCAATCAATCAAATTTCATTTGTATAAGCCATATTCACAAATCAAAATTCATCTCATAGGGTTTAACAAGGTGGGACATCCTATGTTCATAACACTATTAACACACACACACACACACACACACACACACACACACACACACACACACACACACACAATGACCTCCAATTGCACTGCGCGTACTGTCATTTGCACCCAGCATCGTCTCTGACAGTCTTTGAGAATATGCCAAGTCCATTTTTATCTGCAGTAAACTGGAGCTCCCACAGTTGTTTGCTCTGAGGGTTTGAGCAGTCAAAGGAGGAGAGGAAGGAAGAAGAGAACAAGCGGAAGAAGAGGAGAGTGAGAAGTGGCGGGAGTAAGAGGGAGATTAAAGGCTGAAGCAGCAGTTACCTTATTTATAATTTAAAGTCACTTCTCTTGGAATTACCCCACCCCCTCAACCCCGACGACGTTCTTTTCCCTCCAGATCTCACCTTCCCTCCTCAGCAATGTCGAGTGATCTCTTAGCTTACATAACCGAGGCGACGTGAGTGGCAGGTCGCTGTGTGGCCACTGAGACCTCTGGCCGGCTCCCCAAGGTTGAGCCACAGCAGGGAACCAGGCTTTGAGAGACTTAATTCCAAAGGACGATGTTAAGATTTTGGAAGTAAAAGAGATTCATGTTTTATTCAGAATCTAAATATCTCAGTAAAAGCAAAAGCTATTTTCTTACAGATTTAAATCCACGCAATAAATAATACTTTTATCACAACTTTCATAACCAAAAGTTTTTTTCCTGTGGCAGTATCGGAGGAGAGTTCCTGTTTTCCCTTTTTTATTCTAATTTTAGCCCTGATGTAGCTGTTCTAACCTATTTTGTTGCATCAGGACATGTCTGAGCTCCTCTTAGTGAGATTTTGGAACTGCTGAGAGGTACAACTGCTACAGATTAGTCAACTGAAATGGATAAAACCCAAGCAGACAAAGCGGCGAATTTGGTGTCTCGATGAGATTCATCACTGATATGGAGAGTTAATCCTGTCAAGTCTGCCCTTTTTTCGGGCCTGGCTAATTCACTGCTTTTCCTTTCACCCTTTAAACTGATCGTGGGTACAGAGGATTGTTTTCCATCCAGCTGAATTATGTGCCGGGTTACACACAGTTGTGCCTAGATCTCAAACATGATAATGCTGTCAAGCTGCATCACTGTGCCTGATATACGATAAAAGTCCTAAATCTGTTTAGATTACAGCCGATGTTAAGTATCTTATTTGACTGTCACAGTGCATGCAGCACCAAGTGTGTTTGGAGAAAACAACACTGACATCATCAATATAAGCCTTTTTTCATGTTGTCCTCGTCCAATCATTTCTCTCCTTTTAGCTCCTCTCCAACCATTTCCGACAAATTTGGCTCATTTCCCCAAATTCCATCCATCAATCCGTCCATCGTCTGTCCGTCCATCCATCCATCCATCCATCCATCCATCCATCCATATATTAGTATCCATACATACACAGCAGTTAAATGCTTCACTCAGTTCTTCAGCTAGTCCCTAACTTCTGCGTTTCCAGCTGGATAAGTAGCATTTAGTTCATTTATCAAACCTTATTTGTTAATAATCATTGCCTACGTCCAAAGTGGACATTAAATCCAGGTATAATTTGATCTATAATGGAGATTTTTCCTCTCTGCTGTGTAACCTGAAGCTCACTATGGATGCATTATAATGCATAGATATAACCTGGCAAGACAGCCATGTTGCCAATTTGTCCCAGCAGCCAATGGCGGTAAGGGCAACAAAGATGTCTCTTGTGGCCTAAAAACATTTCTGCATAATACATCATTGTAACAATGTCGTCAGGGCCATTGTAACACAGCTGAAAAGCTGTTGACAGATAAGAAGCTCTGTGTGACACACAGTTGTATGCCACACAGTTGTATGCTATCCTTGTCAAACCTGCTAGATTTGCCCACCTTTACCATCTTTTTAAATCATAACCAACATTGCCATAAATGTGGGTTTTGCACAAACCCCCAATCTAGTTAAAGCTCTATGCATGCTGGAGACAGACTTCAGCTACTAGAATTAGCTGGATAGCTGATAAGCCGGCGGGCTGGCTGGCCATAAGTGAAACCATTGTGTGTGTGTGTGTGTGTGTGTAAACTCCAAACACTGGGGTCAGAGAGGGAGTGTGTGTGCATGTGTTTGCTCAGCAGATTGTCTGGTCAAGGAGCCCATATTTGCCCAACCTAGTGAAAGGATAAGAAACTTCTCCCCTACAAGGTCTTCTTTGTGCAGCTCTTTTCTGTTCCGTCTCTGAAATCCTGGCTGCAGTCACTCGCACTAGGATGCAGGACTTTTCTTTAGGGAAACAGGTTATAGTTGTCTGGCTGATTATATTTTATATACATTTTCATTAACTAAGTTGGACCCAGTCTGTTTAAGTCTGGGCCAGGTGCTGCTGACTATTGTATTGATGTGGCAGAGATGCAATCCCATACTGTAGTTTACCTCAGAATTTACGGTCCTTGTTGTTGTCTCTCTATCCTGGGTCTAGCCTGGGTCTTGACCTCTGGATCACTGCCACAAGTCTGGTGTGGTCAGCAAGTCAAATAGATGTGGTGTAGTTCTCACTTATGATTAAGGTAGAGTGATATAACAATGTCAGCAATATCATGTAACAACAGAAAAACTTCTATTCAATTATTGGCTCTAATTTAGTATGGTACAAACATTCATAACTAACATAAAGCTGTTTCCTTTAAAATGTACCCACATATTTTTTTTTTTTACCGTATCCTTCTACAAAATGAAGAATCCCTGCTATTTGTTGCGCAACGAACCAGGTTGATCTTGCATTGTGTATGCTAGCATGCCAGGTAACCTAATCCACTGAGTGATCCCATCACGTTAGCTGGTCTAATCTAGCAGATGACCTTGCAGACAGTGGAGTTACATAAATGACTTACTCGATGTCGCCCAGCGACTAATCACCATAATCTAATTCATTTATGGGACAGATGAGATAGAGGACAGAGCAGGTGGACGAATCAAGTGTTTTTTGGAAATCGGTGCATAGGTGAGACAGGTTGAAGATATGGTCATTTATTTAGGGGCAGATAATAAGGAGCCACTGACGTTATTGCGAGTGTGCGAAGCCCTTAAACCAATCTCCAGGCTTCAGTTATCTTTGTATGCTTCAGTCTGTGTCTCTGCAGAGAGCGAGACAGTGACACCAGACTAGTCACTTATTTAAAGCTTTCCTATTTATAACCCTTTATATAATCGCTGCAGTAACTTCTTTCATTTATTAATGTTATCACTGTGCACACACAGAGAGACAAAAGGGTTTTAGATGGAGTTGTTTGTGATCATTACCAGCATTACAGGGTGAGGTTATGGGTGTGGTACTGTGGCAGTGAAAGACAAGGCACACAGCAACACAAAGATGCCATGTCTGATGGCAGCGGTTCCCAACATGTGGCTCGTGGACCATGGGGGGTCTGTACAATAATCCGAGCTTCGGTGCATGTTACATTCATGTGTGTTTTGTTTGTTGTTGGCATTTTTCAGAGTCAGCAACACTTAAGTCCTTAAGACAAAGCCATGTTATGTGCACTGATATGAGTGTGCATATTTTTCCATGCAACAGGCGATAAGCAAGGTATTTGGGGGCTATTAGTGTAAGATATGTGAAGAATGCAGAACAGAATGTGACTGTGTGTGTGGTGTATTTGTTTGTCAGCACATTGCTCCCCTCCCCCACCCTCCAGGGAGGAGAAGTCATCAAAAACAAACCACCACCACCAGCGGTCTCAGGTGATGACGAGGGACAAAGAAACATCAGGGGAAGCAAATTTTTTTAAACAAAGGCAACGGCAAACAATTATTTTCACTATACCATCCTGATTTTGTTTAGATAACTCAAAAGTTTAGTTAATTATTTGCTGTATTTGTTGGCTGCAGTGAAACAGAAGCCTAGGGTCAAATACAAAGCACGTAAGCACATAAATATGAAGTGAAACGAGTCAGAAGTTAATTTAAAATCATAAAATGATTAAAAAACATAAATGATGATAAAAAAAATAAAATAACTAAGTTCACTGACTTTATTCTGTACTGAATCTGCAGTTATGTCACATTCACAATAATCTTGTATTTGTCTTATTGCCACAGTGGGCGCTGTTCTTCAAAAGAATATTGCTCATCGTGATCCAGAGACTGCCAAATGAGACAAAAACATTTCTATCAAAGATAAATTATATAAGATTATTATTGTATATGCACATATACTTTATATATAATTAGATTATTAATTATATATAATTGATACTATCTAATTATTATCTGAAACAAAGTACAACAAGTCCATAAGTGAACATGAATAATCGCATCATTTTGCCACAAGACAAGATTCAAATAGAATGAGCTTTCAATGAATGAATGCAGTTATGTTTTATTAATGGGTTCTGTATGTATGAGCTGAACAACACTGTAGCCAGTTAGTTGAACTAGTTGTGGGTCGAAAATCTATAAAACCTAACAACACGTGCAGGTACAAACACAACAGGCTGAGCCAGGACGCCAGTAATGGCTAATGGCTGGCCTCAGGGTTTGTGTGTGGGTGTGTGCGTTTCTAAAGGGCAATAGAAAACATCTGCAGTCTGTCATCGAGATTGATTTTGACAGTGCATGAATGACAACACAGATGGATGAACAATGACAGAGTCTTCGTGTACAGACAAATATTCAGTTAAAAGGTGAATGCAGAAAATAGTTCTATCATTACTTTAGGCACGCAACACCGCAACTGGCTAAGGTTCATGTTAGGGCAGAAAACAAAGTCAAGTATGTCCTTGCTAAAATGTAACATACTACAAGTAGTTATGATGATTTTGTTTGTCTATAGGCAACAATAGTAAGTCAGCTTTAGGCTAACAAAGTCTGTCGTTACCCTCAGTCAGGTTTCGGCCATGTTTATTTAT